GAGGGAACGAGAATGAAAGGGGAAGGAGGAATCGGGCTTTTTTTACGGACAGAGATTAAGTGGTGTTTTCACCCGTAATCGGGCTTACCTGTGGCCCGAACTTTCATTAACTTAGAAAATAGTAAATTTAAACATATGATTGTGGAGGGAAATAATAAATTTTCTCCACGTCAGCTTTTTGATCGGTCACTTTCTGTATTTTTTTACCAAACAAACAGGTCCTTAGGGGAACTTACAAGCGGCATTTGTGAAATACGTTGGAGGAAAATATGTGACCGTAGGATATGTTTGATGACCGCCATTGAGCAAAGGACACGTGAGTTTAATATTGGGAGAAATTATTCACCACTTATTGAGCAGGCAAGACGTCTACACGCTTTCAATAGGAATAGGAAAGAGCATAAGGCACTAGAGGAGAGAATGTAGCATTACATTCTCCCATCTAGTGGTACACGCCCCCTCCTATTAAAAGGGTATAGGCATTTAGGTGCTCCATAAGCACCTAAGAATTTTTCTTAATATGGTGACGCATAAAATATTTTTAGTGACAAATCAATCTTAAAAAAAAATCGATGGTTTATTATTATTTTTCCAGATCAGTACAATGTGAATTTTTATTTAGCACCCAAGGTTGAAATCGTACCAAAACTAGAGTAGTAGGCTAATTGTGATCTTTATTTCGATGAAATAGAATATAATTCATTTTCATGTGGGGAGGTTTTCCCTAAATTTCTAAGTTATTAAGGGTTTAGTAAAAGTTTTAAACTTTTAGAGATTAAATGCCAAAGATCCGAACTATAGTCGGTTTAGTAAAATTTACCCAGAAAGTAAAATTGTGGGCCGTTTAAAAAAAGAGGGGTAAGACTTTTAAGATCTTTAGACTATGTTGTTTAAATTGTGCTTAACATACTGAGCACTTGAAAACAAGGAACTTGGATGAGGGATGGGCCAAATTATACTTCAAGTGAGGTGCTAACAGCTTTTGATATTAGGGAGTGTATCTTAAGAGTTGTTCTACAGGGACCTCAAACATGGGACCCAAGGAGGTACAGGTGAGCTGTCACCCCTGGGTGTATGATCTACTATTCATGAACAGTAGATCATGCACTTAGGGGTTGACACCTCACCTGTCCCCCTTAGGTCCCATGATTTGGGGTCCGCAAGGAATTTTTCGTATCTTAATGTTAGTCTTAATCGAGGATATGGGTTCTGTGTTGAATTTTGACTAAAGTTCCACACATCCACGTAGAAAGCAACAACGTTCCTAAATTTTAGTCGATTTTGTTATGATACAATGGAAGTCACTATAGTTGGTCTATAAATAATTAATATAAGATACCAGGGCCTCAGTGAAATTATGCTAGATTTAGAATTCTTCAATCGCACCACCCTGCTGCAAAGAATTTTGATCTGAATTACAGACATTCCTGAGCTGAGATGGGTTTATGTAGAAAAACGACATTGCTCCTGCCTCCTGGCAATCCACGCATCTATTCCTCTTTAATAATGGGAGGATCCAAGATTCATTAGTAAATATTACAGGAAATTACTGTATCATTGTTACTGTAGCACAAACAGGAGCATCCAAGGTTCACTATTTATGTTACAATAAATCACTGTGGTATTATTACTGCAACACAGGCGGGAACTGTAGCGGTAAAAAACATCACTGTAACTCAGGCGCTATACTGTAGCATTACAACTATTACTGTAGCCCTTACAAAAAACAGTATTTAAATATAGAATTACTGTAACAGAAATAAAAAATAAAGATCGTGCTTTGTCGTGGGGTGTACACTAGCAATATATCTAAGCTAAAACTAAGGCATTCTCAATGCATTGAATTACGTACAGATCTTCCTCTCATAACTCTTTCCATCCATTCAATAATGTCTACCCAGGTATATAAGGAGTACTGGGGAGCTGAATAAACTTCATGGCACTTTTCCAGACTTGTAAATTGTAATCACACTCAAAAAGAAGGTGAATCAAGGGTTCAACTTGAGCGTAGCAAAGTGGGCATGTCTTTGTCAATAATAATCAACTTTTTTTAATTTGTTCTTAGTAGGTACGTAGTCTATCTAAGCATCCAATCCAAAATGTACAAGCATGTTTAGGAATAGTGAATTAGACCATATACCAACCTAGTCCACTTCTTCTTATCTCCAACAGCAGCAAGAATGTTATATGCGCTTGAAGAACCTATATGCAGGTTTTCCTCCTTTCCATTTATTGGGGGATCAGCCATCAAAGGTCATTAATGCATGTTGATGTCATTATCAAACCGGAGGTTTTGAGGATGATCTTAAAGAGGTTGGGGTCACTTGATCCCCTTTGATGGTTGATCCCCCGATAGACTGCTCCCTGGTGCCTCCCTGCAAAACTACAATACGTTAGAGGACCGGAGTTGGGTTTTCCGGTGATTCCTCTCACGATCAAGTTAGTATTTGAGCTTGAGCGGAGAAGAAGCCAATGAACTGAATAAGTTCTCAGTCTAAGTGTGCAGAAATTGTATATTTTTGTGCTGTAGACGGTCCCTCTATTTAATTATAGTAGGTTCAGAGGGGCAATTTTGTAATTTTGTTGAGTCCAAGCAGACTGTTTAGTTAGCAATTACTTTACATGTGTTGGTTATGGGTGGCATGAGTCACCCTTGTGATAACAGGTGTCGGCTGTGAGTGGCATGTGTCACCCTTGTGATCAATGCGATGATGACAAAGGAAGCATGGTGCTGACAGAGCCTGATGAACCATAAAGATTTTTGAGGCTAGAGTGATGATGATTTCTGACCATGCTTGATGATGACTAGCTATTGACAGGGGGCTCGAGGACGACTACCTTTCGACTCGGGTTGCCTGTTGAGAAGGGATAACTCGGGCTGCTTGTTGAGAAGGGGCGACTCCTTGTGAGAAAGAATGACTCGACCTGACAAGAAGGGGTGACTCGGTCTGGCGAAAAGGGGCGACTAGGGCTACCTGTTGAGGAGGGACGACACCTTGCGAGAAGGGCAAAAAATACTGTCTTTTTAGTCTTCCTCAAAAGTTCTCGACCCGGAATAGCGAGAAGGGATGTTTGTCTCAGTCTGGTAAAAATGTACACCTTGTTCTGCCTATCTGGGTCAGCTTGAGGTATAGTCTGCTTGAGACATGTGTCAGCCAGTTGAATATTGATCAACACTTATTTCTATGGCACAATACTCTTTTTAATGTGATGATGACTAGCTATTGACGGGGGGCTCGAGGACGACTGCCCTTCGACTCGGGTTGCCTGTTGAGAAGGGACAACTCGGCCTGCTTGTCGAGAAGGGGCGACTCCTTGTAAGAAAGAATGACTCGACCTGACAAGAAGGGGTGACTCGGTCTGGCGAAAAGGGGCGACTAGGGCTACCTGTTGAGGAGGGACGACACCTTGCGAGAAGGGCAAAAAATATCGTCTTTTTAGTCTTCCTCGAAATTTCTCGACCCGGACTAGCGAGAAGGGATGTTTGTCTCAGTCTGGTAAAAATGTACACCTTGTTCTGCCTATCTGGGTCAGCTTGAGGTACAATCTGCTTAAGACATGTGTCAGCCAGTTGAATATTGATCAACACTTATTTCTATGGCACAATATTGGCCCCTTTCGCTCGGACTCGACTGGCCGAGTCCGAGTGAAATTCAACTTTCGTGCCTTTGTACTAGGGATGCATAAACCTCATGCCTTGGGTTTACTCATGATGACACCAAATTCTTGGGTTGCGTGCTTAGGGCTTATGGAGGTGCTAAGGTCTAGGTGTTTGCTTGTTCAGCACTTTCTACGCTGTAGACTTTCAAATATAAATTTTTTATTTATGTTAATTTGAACAGCGTACCCTTGAGTACCAGTCAGTCCCTCGGGTCAAGACGACTCGGCTCCGAGTGTGTGGAGTGGTGCTACTCAACCTCATGCCTTGGGTTTATTCATGATGACACTAAGGTCTTGGGGTATATGCCTTGGGCTTAGGAAGATGCCAAAGTTTTTTCCATCGAAGTAGATTGAGTTGACGTCCCTTGGTTTTACCCTGAAAAGGAACCAATGTCTTTTGTCGATTACGTACCTTGGTCTTACCCTTAGTAGATGCTAATATCTTTTGAGGCGAAGCTGACAGAGTCGAGATGTGCCTTTATTTTATTCTGAGAGGGTACTAAGGGCTTTTGTCGATGACGCGCCTTGGTCCTACCCGGAGCAGGTGCCAAGGTCCTTTGAGTCGAAGCCGACTGAGTCGAAGCATGCCTTGTTTCTACCTCGAGAGGGTACCAAGGGCTTTTGCCAATAGCGTGCCTTGGTCTTATCCTAAGTAGGTCCTAAGGTTTTTTGAGGCGAAATCGAATGAGTCGATGATGATCGATCGATGAAAGCTGCAAATAGATATACAAGAGGAAAAATATATTGTTTGAAGATAGTACTATTAATTTGATTCCCTTTGGGAGTTTTATGTGCCTTGGGCTTAGACATGAAAAGATGTCAAGGTCTTGAATTGGAGTCGACCGAGTTGATAATGTGTCTTAGTCTTGCTCATGAAAATAATGCCAATGTCTTTGGTACGCGTCTTTGATACGAGTTGTTGTGCGAGCACCTTTAATCGTGAAATTATCAAAGGTGGGTTGAGAAGAGGATGACAGAAACACAAGCACAATTCAGTATATGGCGAAGGAAAATACCTTTTCTAGATTATGAGTATGAAAAGATTACAATCCCTCTCTCACAATCTCGCTAGAATCGAGAACAAACTCTCAATTCTCACTAAACCATAATACAAAGATTAGAATCTCTCTCTGAATCTATTTGATTCTCTCTCTGATTGTTTAGAAACCCTAAAACAATCCTTTATATAGGTGTACAAACGTGGATGGTAATTTGGTAAATAACCAGACCCAAAACCAACAGGAATTTGTATGAACAGAAACCCAAACGAACCAGGAAACCATCGATGAGTCGACTCATGACTGAGATGAGTCGACTCGTCAGAAACTGG